TCCTCTCTGTGTGCTCAGTTAAGTAAATTGGCCATACCCTTCCTGATGGGACTTGGAATTCTTCAGCTCTCAACCTTTTTTATGACTTAAACCAAAATAATGCTATTTACATACATGGAGTATCAGCTCTCCAGTGATTTCAAAATACACCCAGACTTTTCCCACTCGTTGCCATGCTTTGCAAAGGGAAGCCCTGTTCAGTCTCAAGTCAGTTTCATGGAGATATCCAGCAGCAAAATGCTTCAGAGAAGCGGACTGCTCATCTTGTGAAGTCCCCGTGCTCCATCTAGTCAACTATCAAGGGGCATATTACAAATGCAGGAGACAGTGAAGGGATGGAAAAACAAAGATTTAGAGTGATGAAAAGCAAGCTAGCAAAATATGTATAGAAATCTAACTACAATTTACAATAGTGAAAATAGTTGTTTTGGTTTGAATGCAACATGTGCTTTCGTGTGTGAATGATATAGGAAAATATTCTCTTTATTCCCTTACTCCCTTTTGTGTTCATCCTAAATGAGCCCTGCATCTCTTTTGTTATTGCGCTCTGAGTGTGCGTATGTGTGTGACTTACCCATTGTAAGCAGGCTAGCATCCTGCAGACTGATGGAAATAGATTCTTCCTGGGTCCACTTTTTTAACAACAACAACAACAACAACAACAACAACAACAACAACAACAACAACATAATGCAGTTGGTAGTTCCTTCCATAGTTTTCAGTTGAGAGCCTTATGTCCTTGGTATCTGCACCCAATGGAAACTGATGTCTCTAAAGCTGATAGTGGTGGTCGCTCTATTTTTGTGTTTAATCCAAACATTGAGGGGACTATCCAAGATTCTGGATCTGTTTGGGTTTAGCATTTTGGATAGCTCCTCTAATATTTAGACTAAAACCCAGAACAGATTTATCATACCACTGACATGAAAGCCATCAGCCACCACTGTCTGCACCAAACATTCAGGGGTAGCTGTGTAGGTCATTTAGCAAATTCAAACAAAAACCACCAGCGATACTTTTACTGGCCAATATACTTGTTGCAACAAGTATATTGTGCGATTTGGTTGGCCAATAAAGGTATCACTGATGGATTTTTGTTTGAATTCACTGTCTGCACCAGTTGCAAGTCCTGGTTATGTTGCCTTTGGATTTCCCTCCCCTTTGGCCTAATTGGGGAGCTAGTGGTTCACAGCCATAAAACATTGCCACAGTCACATTGCTTCCATGGAAATTACTAACACACACACACACACAGAGAGAGAGAGAGAGAGAGAGAGAGAGTTATGTGTGATGGATGTTCATTGCTTGTTCCAATATACTTGCTATTGCTGTTGGTATTGTTGCAACTGGTGATGCAGTATAGCAGACGTATTTATTCTTCACACATGACTCATGTATACATGGGACTTGTTCCACTTTAGGAATCTGATGTGAAATTATGTTAACTCCAGCTGGGAATCAGGGTTGTACTGTCCTTGGTAAAGACAATTTCCCAACAGACTTCTTGGGACTTGTTTCAGTTGGTAACATAGAAGGAAGACGATAATCGGCTGTCCACTCTGAATATGATCTTTGAACATCATCTATATCAGGGGTAGGCAACCTTTTTGAGCCAGGGGCCGGGTTGCTGTCCCTCAGACAATTGACGGGCTGAAGCACCAAAAATAAATAAATAAATAAATAAATAAATAAATAAATAAATATTAAAATTAAAAAATAATTTAAAAAATTAAAAAAATGCATGCACACTCTCTCAGCCCCAGAAAAGCCATGGCAAAACCCCTGTGAAGATTTTGCCAAGAAAACCCCAAGAACAAGTAATAACAACAATAATCAATATCATCATGGGGGGGCGGCAGCGGTGGGGGGGCGGCGGCGGCAGGACCGGTTTGGGGCCGGTCCAAAGGCCTTGCTGGGCCGCATCCGGCCCCCGGGCCTTAGGTTGCCTACCCCTGATCTATATACTATCTTGGTCCACTAAACAATATTTACATGGTTTACATTAGTGAACTTTCTCTTAACTTACGGTAATTTTTTTAAACTTCCGTACAAATAAAACAAGCAACAATAACAGCTGGAGCTCTTCTCTTCACATCTTCATTTGTTTACTTGCATGGTATTTTTTTTATACATGAGACATTCATGCATCTCTCCACCCTCCCCAGTCTGAAATGGTTCTTATCAATAATGCCACCTCATTCTGCTGCACATGAATCCTGGGCTTCATTTTCCACTGTGTGTTCCTGACACATAGTGTATTGGTTACTCCTGTTTGCGGGGACTGAGGTTGTACGTTTTGACTGGCCTGTAGCAGGTGTGCGATCTGAACAGGTCTCCTATCCAAAGCTAGCTGCTACCTTAAGCTGATGGGGTTTTGTTGTGTTGCATGGCAGGGATGGACCTCTGGATGTTGTTGAACTGCAGCTCCTTTTGGCTCTAGCGCTTGTGTAGCCACAGGTGAAGGATGATGGAGAATGCAGTCCCATAACATCTATAGGGCAGCACATTCTCTGCGTCTGCTGTCAAGGCCTTTGCAGACTGCCAGAAATAGTGCACATTAAATTGAGGC